GTTTTTGGCTGTTGTTGCTTAGCAACCAGAAGCTGTTTGTTGTGGGCTTTGATTATACTGCCCATGTTTCTTGAGCAGCTATAGCTGACTTTGACATTGTTCTTGTTAAAGAGCTTATGTAAAATGTTGCCACTCGGGAAATGCTTTTTGACCAGGTTAAGGAATAATTTCCTGATGTTGGTTTTCACTCCTTTGCTGAATGGTGGGTTGTACCAGATTATTTGTCTGCTTCTATTTTTCTTTGAAGATTTTGGTTGTGGAGGCTGGTATTCCATTTTGTGCAGGAATCCGCTGTTTTGTAGAGCTTGTTCGTAGTCAGGGGCGGCCTGATGGTATGATTCACTGAAATCAGATATATTGAATATGCGTCTGTTAATAGATGCGGGAATTTGTTTCAGGATAGATGGGGGATGGTTGGATTTGCTGTTGACGTAGAGTAGTTGGTTGATTGGTTTGCAGTAAGGCTTGAAGGCAGCGTGATCACTGCTTGGGTATTTACCCAAGATCTTGGTTATTTTGACTCGGTCTTGGGTTCTTGGGTATTCCGTTCAAATCCTTGGGTATTTTATTTTTACTAAGAAAATAAAATATTTTAGTCATAGAGGAAGAGTTAACGCCAAATGAAGCTTACTCGGAATAATGAATATATATACAGTATATATTATACCGTTCTTTTTAATATCAATTTATCATTTCACATTAAATACAATATCTGATATCAGACTTTTTCCAATATCTAATGGAATATAATAAATACAAATACATGTCACTACTTTTGATGTTATTCTTTGACTATGCAGTACAGTAAACACATTTAAAAGAACAAAACATGTTTTACATGGTGGTCACCTTGAAATTTAATATGGCTGCTAAATGACCTTGACCTAAAATGGCTGTCATAATGACCTCTGATGAAATAGTTCCTATCAAAATTAAATTGTATGAGCTTATGTATGATTTTGCTGTAAAACACGACCACTTACAAATTATTAAGATATTCTACGTATTTAACAGAAAAATGAAATTGAATGACCTTAAATGACCATCTGACCATGTCACAAGTGCTATAAATCATTGACCATGAAAATATATTTTTAGACATCATAATTCTTATTGGAAGTAGTTTAAAAATCGATATATTGATAAATATAGGTTTTGCGTGGCAGCCATTTTGAAATTCAAGATGGCCGCCAGAATGACCTCGAATGAAATATTGTAGTTCAAAGTAAAATTTTTGAATTCTGAGAGCCCGGGTATGATTGTAATGTAAAATTTGACAATTACGTAATTTTAAAGATACCATACAATATTTGACCTTGAATGACCTTAAATGACCCATTTGTGGCAATCTGACCAGGTCAAATATGATATGATGGTATTTCTCGATCATATAAACATACTCTTAGACATTAGAATTATAATTCAAAGTGATTTAGAAGCGGAGATATAGAAAAACATAGGTTTTATAAGGCTACCATTTTGAAATCCAAGATGGCCGCCATAATGACCTCGGATGTGGTGGTTTCATAGAGGTATAATAAGAATACTAGAGCGCTAACCGCAGTGTATTCGATGTTCAAAATACGCAGAACTGTGTGTGTACCATCTTTAGCCAATCAAATTTCGCTCAGCACCATCGTTTGCAATTGCGCCCTCAATTTACTCAGAAAGTTCAGTACAGCTAGTTACCCTTATGTTTGAAACTCGAGCGTTGCGGTGTTTGGGTGTAATGTACACGATGTTAATTTTCATTCCTTGATACTTTATTTTTGAATAAGATGCTCCACTTGGCCTCGTTTTGGCTACAATAGTTTGATAATTTGTTATTATCATTACTCATTATCATTAATGAAATAATAGTCAGTCAGAGGGCTTATTAATATGTAATAATATGTATACTAAGCCTGAAGGTGGCGCTTTACTACGACGGCCATCTTGGATGGTACACATACATAACTCTGCATTGCTGCGCCATCTTGTTAGCACTCTAGTTGTTTAATAACTCTATGGGTGGTTCCTACCAAAAATTGAATGCTATGACCATAAGGAGCATGTAAAAAAAAATTGGTGCTTTTGTCCGGAACGTCCACATTAAGTCCAAATGTGGCCCTAAGCTGCCGTACTAATTACAGTTGGCCCAATTACATGTACAAACAAAAATTTCTTTATTCCGTTAAAAATATATACCTTGTAACGTTTGCTGCGGACTGGTTGATGTGGCTGTGTAATGCTTGCAGTATATGCCTCGGAACCGTTTCTTTTATTAAATGCTTTGATGAAATCCGGGTAATAATTTGTATTCTGAAAATCAGTAAAATAAAACGTAAATAGTAGAGTCCAGATATTGCACCAATATAGTGGCGTATATAGAAGTACTGACGGGGCAAGGGGGTTAGCAAAAAGGTTAAGTAAGGGGATTTCTGGCAAAAAATGTGAACTATTGGATGTAACTGTTTTGCTAAGATAAGAGGCCCTGAGGTGGATCTGACCCCCTGACCGGGCGATGCCCCCGACGAGAGGTCAGATTTCCCCGATGGAAGCAAAGTGGGCGTGGATTAAAATGTTTCGAAAGTGGTCCAGGGGGCGAAGCCCCGAAAATTTTGACAATTTAGGGGTTTCAACGGCTTATTTAATCGATTTTAGAGTCTACTAATATGTAGAAAATACATAATTGTTGTTGTTGAGAAAGACAATATTCTTTCGGAAGTTTAGGGAGGTTTTAGATCAAATCACCGCTGTGAAGATTGGAGTGTATGTCAGCAAGATGAAACCATTTATGTAATGCATGAATAAAGTTCGGGATTTGTCGGGTAGTGAAATAATTATTGTACATTTTAAGTATAAATGCGTATAAATTACGGCGATTCATTAGCGAAGATATGGAGACAATATTTCGAAGTTCCCTCTTTCCAAGAGGGGATGCATATGCTTTGTGAAAATGAGTACGCCGCAGTACACACTTTCACAAAGAAATATACACAACTGGTTAGCTAACAATATGCAAATGTGAACACCTGGGAAGGAATGTGCAATCACGTTCTGTGGCCTAGCAAACGTCTGTACTGTAGCGTAGGGGG